ATGAATGTGTATAGTTTCCCAAATCTAGGCCTAGGGCTGGGATCTGAACAACATAGGTGTGTTTTTCTTGAAAATTGTATGTAGGTTTTTCTTCTTTTTGATTTGCATTGATTTGATTTGGATATAACTGTGAATAAACAAATATTGTCATGTAAGTCTCAATCTTCAATTGGAGCATTAGAATGTGGTATCAATGTACCTTTATCAGTTGATGTGATAAGTAATTGTCTTTTGTTCAAATTTAGTCATGATCCCACTGTTTGAGAATTCTTTTTGAATCCTAATTCATTTGATTTTGACATAGGTCAGTTCTGTTTTGACACTTACTTAATCAAAGTTTATTTATTGATGGTCTTCTTCTTCTTTTTCTTGATAGATGGGATTTACCTCAAACATCCAATTCTCAAAATGTGCCTGAAGGCTTTCAAATGATTTGGAATACTTATAAATCTAACTGATTTGATGAAGAATCTAAATTGATTTACAATTGATTTGAAGTTGTTAGAGCTAGAGGTAGAAAAAGATGTATGTCAGGTCAATTTATATCATTTTGATTGGTCTATTTGTGTTTCTAATCAATCTTGAAGTTTAAAACTTCATGATATATATATATATATATATATATACCTGTAAATGTATATAAACTTTACAATATTGTCTTTTCTTTTTGATTGTAATCTTGGTTTGATGTCACAATAAATGATTTCTTAGGGATTCATACTTCAAAACCAAATCAAAACTGAAAAGTGTTACCTCAATTTCTTATTGTTAGAAACTCATTAAAGACATATACTACATAAGTTTTTGGAACATTCATTGTTGCAAAGCAATGAGAACATTACAAAACTAAAAAAAGTCAACTTAAATTCTTCAATGATTATAAAAAAGTAGGAAAAAGGTATATGTAATAACAATTGTTCCAATTTATTTTTTGGTATAGTGTAACAGATTGTCCTGAGCTCACTGGAAGAGAAAGAATAAAAATTGATCATGGTACAGTTGTGGTTATCAATAAGTGTGATCTCTCCATAGTATTATCTGTTCAGTGTATTCCTTTCAAAGACCTGACTCCCAAACTTAGAGCTCAAATGATAATTATTTCAAATACAGACCCTTTAGAAAGCAAGAGAAATTTTGATTCTCTTGATACTTATATGTCCTTACTCAAAATTGTCTTCAAAGGACTTAACTTCAAATCATATCATCATTCCAATCATCAATTGAATCTACCAAATTAGCATCTTTGTCTTCTTCTTTACCTTTGATTGTCTGTTTCATTGCCCCCATTTCATCATCAGAATCTTCAATTTTGAATCCACCCACCAAGAACCTGAGGAGGGAGTTCCTGATGCAAGAAACATTGCAAGCTTAGGTAATATTGTAAGATTCTATGCGGAGACAAATGCCTGAGAATTAAAGGTGAGTCTGCACTTTGCACCTACAATGCAGAATATCACCATCTATTACTGATGTATAATTGGTCAGGTAACACATGTACATTTAGCAAAAAAGCAGCGGCAGGTATGGAGAAGAAGAAGACAGATTAATTTGCTGGTACTCAATGGGGGCTAAGTTTGAGACAGGCGTAGGCCATGCAGTGTCTTCATATTGTAGTGAAGTGTTTCTTCTTGTGTGTCACAAGCTGTCTATAGTGTAATAATAGTGTCATGAATTGCACATGCCTTGACTTGGAGTTCTGCAGGAGTGTGGTGCAGCACAGGTATGCAAGACATGATCAGTGATTTCAGGGGCAAGACAGCAAGGACTGATCCGCCCAATACCTTGTCTTACTTAAATCTTATCTACATAACTGATCAAATTCAATTAAACTTAATTCCAATCATTAAAAAGACGTAGCAAAATGAATTCAATCCGGGTTTCCTTAAATATTGAAAACCTAAATTAATTGAATTCAAGAAAGAGATCATCAAACATCAAACATCAAGTTTGGTTCAAATAGAAAGAAATTGTTCAAGTTTGATGGTATGAAAGTCATTTGATTGAAACATTTAATCATCTCATGCATGTTTATGTAAAACCCCAAGTTCAATTGATCTTGACAAAATTAAATGAATACTGTGAAAGACAACAAACTAAAGTAGAAGTAGAAGTAAAAGATTTGAAAGATGTCTAAGCATGAAGAAGTTCAAGAACCTCTCAACATGAAAGATTTTAGTGATTTTGTTTTTGTGGCAACCATCAATTAGATTTTCTTCAGTTGATAAAAGATGAAGAAGAACAAGAAAAACTGAAACCTACAAAATGAGAAGAAGAATCAAGTCAAAGAAAGAAACAAAGATCAACAGGCAAACAGCAAGTGATTGGATCAAATTAGAAAGGTATCAAGAAGTAGGATGTTTGAACATGAAAAAATGGACAAAAGCCAACTAAATAAATTGATTCATTAATTTAAAACAAAACAAAGAGAATTCAAAAGACTTGTATGAAATGACAAATGACAGAAAAATCAAATTGATGTGAACCAAAAGAGAAAGGTTAATCTAAAAGTTGAAGAGATGGTTTAAAAAGAATGAAACTGTTGAATTGAACTCTATGGAATCTAAACTAGAAGATATCAAATTGATCATCAAGAAATCTAAAGAGAAATCCAAATTAAAAGTGATTGAAGTGGAATTAAATCAAATTAAAGAATTTGAGATGGATCAGTTTGAGGATGAGATGAAGGTTTTAGAAGACATTTGAGTTCTGTTGGACAATTATGTGGTGGAAGTTCAAGCCGCACTTGGCCCTGGGTTTACTTGGTTAGAAGATGTGACTTATAAAATTTAGTCTTTCTTTCCTCCTTAAAAAACATCAAGAACACTGATGAGTGAAGTCTTTGGAATCAGGGGGGGTTCAGGTTATATGTCAAACAAATGTAAAGAAAGGTGTCAAGAATTGATCTTGAATGGAAAAGATCAAGGCGGATTAAAGTTGAGAATTTCCAGAGTTTTTTGAAAAGATTAAAGAGACTTATAAATTGGTTTTAGATGAAGGTAGAGTGTTTCATTGGAAATTGAATAGGTTGAGGGTTAGGTATGTTGACAGGTTGGAAACGGAAAACAGTTGGGAGGAGAGAGAGATATATAGTTGGGAGGAGACAGATGAACAGTTGGGAGGAGAGAGATGAGCTTTAGGGTAGGTTTTTGAAAGTTTTTGAAAGGTTTGGAAGTTGGAAAGAGGAAGTTGAAGGGGTTGGGGGTTTTGACGACTTTCTTGCAAAAGTAAACATTTTGATTTGGTTTGATTATTGATTGCAGATTTGTGTTTGGCTTTTACAGATAATTGAGTATGGGAGTATGATTCTATATAAAAACAAAAAACTTGATGATTTGTTAGATTTTTTTCATTGAAACCATTCACCACTCATCCTGATGAATTTTTGAAATCTCCATAAAAAGAAATTCAATTTATTTATTTATTTTTACATATAATTTTTAATGATGTTATATTTTTATTCATAGCCATCATTCAGTGATGTGATTGAAAATCATTTAGGCCTACCTCCAATCTATCTTGCAAAATGAAATTGAATCAATTCATGATCAAATTGATTTGGCTTTAGATGATTTTTTATTGATAGATAGCTCAACATAAGATGATGATGACCACCTCACAATATCTGTGATTTATTTCAGTGCTCAAAACAAACTGTGTGAAGTGAGCCTTTGAGATTTTCAAGTTCAAAAGCTGTATTGATGTCCGTAATCATTCTACAAACAGGTCTGTCAATTGATTGGAGCATGAATGATGGTGGCGATACTTTGGATAAGTGATTCAATTTTTTAAGTCATCTATCATAGCTCATGGACTCTTGATATAACTGACACTTCAATTCTTCATTGACCTCATCTACATTGTAATGTCAAAATGTGTGAGAAAAAAGTTCCGGGAATGCTTATTTAAAGATTTGGCATGAGTGGTGCTTCACCCAAACTTCAAGTTGATCAACAAATAGATCAATCAGTGATATAATTCAGTTGCAGCATATCTGAATTTTGAAAGTCCAACAGCCAACTTACAGCAAATTGTCAAATTGACATCTGCACATTGATTGATTTGAGTCAATTGTTCACCATCTTTGAAGCAACCAGTTTATTTTCAATTGCATCAAGCATGAGGATCAGAA